CTAAGACAGAAAATTGGGTGTGCAGGTTCACGTCTTCGTATAACCCCGATATTCGGTATTTTGATGATTTTAGCGACATTATTCACCGGAATTGTTTCAAATTTGGTATTTGATGTTCGTAACGGATTCTACAGCCTAAGACAGAAAATTGCTGTGCAGGTCCACGTCTTCGTATAGCCTCAATACAACGTTACCTCCCGATATTCGGTATGTTGATGATTTTAGCGACATTATTCACCGGAATTTCAAATTTGGGATTTGAAGTTAGTAATGGATACTTCAGCCTAAGACAGAAATTTGTCTGTGCAGGTCCACGTCTTCGTATAGCCCCATATAACAGTACCTCCCCATATTCGGTATTTTGATGATTTTAGCTACATTATTCACCGATTTTTTTTTCAAGTTTCGCAATTTAATATTGTAATGGCTTATGCCAAAGTTGCCTCTGCAGGTCCACGTCGTCGTTTAGACCTTAATATGACGGCTACATTTGGTATTTTTAAGATTTAATTAACGGATTACCTTTTTTTTGAAAATTACCAAATTCGTTCCAAATGGTGGAGGGTATTCAAAGGTTCGGTCCGGCCGAACTTAGAGTTTTTTTACTTGTTAAAATTATACATTTGATAACATATTAACAACATAAATTTATTGTGTATACAAAAATTGAAGAGGGGGACATATTTTTCTATTCAGTTTATTTGTCAAGGTAAAGCACAGAAAATGTAGAGTTGGACGAGCTGATTTAAAATAAGGTTACCTTATTAATTCTGCCAAGGTTATTTTGGACAAGTTATTGATTTTGAAGATTTCCATCAGGTTATGAAAATTAAATGTTATGTCCATGGTGAAATTAAGAAGGTAGTCATTTCAAATAAGCATAGACAGTAGTTTCATTAATATACCTTGTTAAATTTAGCTGAATAGAAAAACGGTTTCCATCTCTGATTTGTGAAAATACAATGGATTTATGAATATATATTTTTACAATTGCTCTGTTCCAGTACCTGAAAAAATCTACAAATATTGCAATTTTCTTCGATATCATAAAGGGAACACCGGATATCGTAGAAAGAAGTTTAACATTCTTGCACTTCTGGAAAAGACCATATGAAATGTTGTCAAATATATAATTTTGAAAAAAAAGACAAATTCTACCATGGTTTTGTTAAAAATCGGTTTTTTAGTTCAAAATTAATGCACGCTTAACACGCTTGATGAAATGTAGAAAAAAAATTACAAATTAACACAAACTATTTAGTTAATGTTATATTTATTAACACTCTTAAATGTTAAACGTCTATTTTGATTAATGAATAACTAATTTATGCTAAAAATTGTGGTTTTATCACTTAGCTCTAAAATATCAAACGTGGGAATGTCTTATTAATTCTAAATTCAAAATATGTATGACATTCGTCGTTCCTAAAGACTATTTCTCATTGTGGACAGAGAATATTGAAGGTATTAGCTATTTAAAGTTTTTTTATATATATGCGCAGGTGTGTACGATAACCGAATAGCCTGTAAAATGATGTTCGATAGTTATGTACAACACAAGAAATAATTTTAAGAAAAAATCCAGCAAGCTATGCAAGTAGAGCTAAAAACAAGTAAAAACCCAGTAAATAAAGTCTTAAAGTCAGGCGGGGCCGACTTTATGATACCCCATACCACTTTGCTAAATTAGTAGAGCTTCACATAACAATTAAAAATTTTTTTAGGGGGAATTCAATCATACACGCTTTGATTATAACTATAATTTAAAGTTCAAAGGACTAAATATGCCGAAGCATTTGTATCTTTTAAATTCGGACTTGTATTGCCCATTTGGTGTAAAATTAATTTGAAATCGGATAAAAATATATATGGGAGCTATATCCAAATAGGAACCGATCTCGATAAAATTTGGCAAAGATATTTCCGAGCTGTATTTGATATATTTCCTTGAATATCGTTGTTACGGAGTGCATATTACGGCTGTGGGTAACAAATATGACAAATCGGATGAACAGTATATATGGCAGCTATAGCAATATCTCAACCGATCTTCACCAAATTTGACATACTAGCTTCTAGACTCAATTTGGTCGTAAGTGCCAAATGTCATCAAATTTGGGCAAATATTAGACGTTTGGTGCACAATAAAAGGTAAATCGGACGAAGTTATATATGGGAGCTATATCCAAATCTGAACCGATCTCGATAAAATTTAGCAAATGTATTTCTGAGCTGTATTTGGTATATTTCTTCAAATATTGTTGTTACAGAGTGCATATTACGGCTTCGGAGGACTAAAATAACAAATCGGATGAACAATATATATGGGAGCTATAGCTATATCTGGTCCAATCTGATCGTACGTGCAAAATTCCATACTATTCGGACTGATATTACACGTTTGGTGCACAATAAAAAGCAAATCGGAGGAAGATATATATGGGAGCTATATCTAAATTTTTACCGATTATCTTCAATTTCAATAGGGTTCGTCCTTGGGCCAAACAAATGATTTGTGCAAAATTTCATCTGGATAGGGCAATAAATGCGAACTCTACTTTGTTTACAAAAATACATGGACAGACGGACGGACATGCATAAATCGACTCAGAATGTGATTTTATGCAGATCATCAAAATGAATACCCTCCACCTTTGGGTAAAGAAAACATTTTTATATAAAAATATCTGACTTCAAACGTGTTCCACTTTAAACTACAAATACCAGTAAGACCGGTTTGATAATGCTGTTAAACTTTTCAAAAAACCATAAAGTGGGTGAGGCCGTTATATGGGGCCATACCAAAACGGGAACCTCTATAGAAAATTGTATACTTCAAGGATTGTCATCTACCTAATCTTCTTAAATACCAAATTTGAAACAATTTCATGGGTAAATTTGACTAGGATTGTCAAAATACCGAATATCGGGGGTTATCGTATGCGTTATAGGGAAACTTGGACCTAAATATTCAATGTTCTGTCAGCGGAGCTCGACCCATTATGAACTACAAATACCAATGTTTATATAAATTCGTGGAAAAATCACCAAAATACTGAATATATAGTGAAAACGTAGACCTATACATACTATGTTCCGCTACAGGAGCTAAAATCCATTACGAACTACAAATACAAATTTGTGGAGAAATCTGTAAAAATATGTGACAAAAATCATCAAAACACCGAATATCGGGAGTTAACGTTAAATGAGGGCTATACCAAAACGTGGACCTGTACAGGGTGAGATAATAAAATGCAACAAAGTAAAAGCCATAATTTTTAAATTTTTTAAATTTTATTGAATGAATTTTATTTATTGCCAACCTTGCTCTCCAAAATACTCCAGAATCAATAGTCCAACGGATTGGTATCCGGAGATTTTGGTGGCCATTGTGTGCTGGAAATGAAGCGAGGAACCTCATTTTGTAACCATTATTGGGTGGCGCGTGCTGCGTGCGATGGTGCTCAGTCCTGTTGTTTGCGTGGTCAAGGCTTCATACACTCTCCTGAATATTTTCGCGATAATATTCGGCATTTATTCTGATGCAACGGTCGATTCATACGAGCGGAGGGCGACCATCGGCTGTTGTGGCAACCCACACTATCACCATGGCCGGCGCTTGAGTCCTGGTGGCCAACCGAATGTGCACATTTTAAGCTGGCCTCTTTGGCAAGTAAACACGATCATTTTGTTTGTTTACAAACTTCTGGACAACGAATGTTTTCTCATCGGAGAAAACCAAATTCGGCAGATCACCACTTTCGGCCAAGCGAAGCAACTCTTTATCTCTTTTGAGTCTATTTTCTTTCTGTTGCGGTGTAAGTTCTTGCACTTTTGGAAATTCAATGGTTTTACCCCGAGCTTATTTTTCAATATTTGCCGAATGGAATATTGCGATATGTTCAGCTCGCGAGCCATTTTTCGGCCACTGCGACGCGGGGTCGATCAAGTTGCTTCTTTACTTTTCGAACCATTTCTTCTTCCGTCCACTTCCTCGACGTCGGACTACGCTACCATTATCACGGTAACGAGCGATGGTACGAGACACAAAAAATGTATTCACATTCAAATGCTGGATAGCCACTTTTGGTTTCCAGCCAAATATAAAGAAAGCACACTATCACGCTAGAATTCCATCACGAATAACTTTTTTTCTGCAAAATTCTCACCTAAATGCTTTTGTACGCTTGTAATATAATAAGTTGTCCCTGGAAAAATTTTAACAGTTGTCGGACGAGTGGCTTAGAAATGACAGCAGTCTGAAGTTGGTTGCAGTTCTTTCATCTCACCCTGTATACCCTCTCTAGCCATATGGCTGAGGTTATAATAATCGAGGGTATACATCAGTCGGCAAACCCGACTAATACTTTTTAAGTTGTTTTTTTTTTTTTTTTTTGAAAATTTCGACCTTTTGTGGGGGAGGTACCACAAGGTGTAGACCGACATTGCTCTTCTCCGAACTCGATCTAAGTTTGATAATAATATTCCGATGTACCAAGTTTGGACCAAACCGGATACTCCCTTCGAGAGTTATCGTGTGCACCAGCCGGACAGACGGACGGACGGACGGACATCACTAGATCGACTCCAAATGTCCTGAAACGGATTTGGTTCAAAGAGACCTAGAATCTGAAACCGTTATTTCGATGAGTCACTTTTGGCCGTCTCAAATGACATATACCCTCTCTAGCCATTGGCTAGAATAGAATAAAAATACGTTTATCCACTGTGAATTTCTTCACATTGATGTGTTATTTATGTCACACGGGTGTTAAAGATTTAATTCGTTTTGGTCATAAAATTCCATACAATTTTATTTGAATATATACCGGCTGGCTACGTAGAATAATTTCAATTATGTTCTTGCTTGCTTTTCGAAATTATACCACCATTGAGACAATTGTTTAACATTTGGTCCAAACAATATAATTTGAATTCTGCCAAATGGAAACCGGATTTAAATATTTAGTACCTATTCTTGTGTTGTTATTTATGCTCAGTCAAGTTGTGGCAATTATTGCAATTTCCAGAATTCTATAAAAATCAAAGAGCATCCAATTCAAAGATGCAGACCATTTTGATACTCGATAAAGGAATTTCAATAGATTTTAGATAGAGAAATTATTTTTTTTTTGGTAGAAATGCATAAATTCGTAAGTAGTTGTCTAAAACGCCACTGGATTGGAAACTCATAAATATGATTAAATTCTTAGCTGACGTTGGCTGTTGTTGTTGTGGTCGCCGCCTGCGGTGTATTTGCCGAAACTCCAGATGCCCATGCTGAAACTGTGCACTATGTGAGCAATATTGAAAAAGATGGCAAATACAGTTACAACTTTGAAATATCGAATGGAATTACTGTCCAAGAGGAGGGTACCGCCGGCCAAGCCGTTAAAGGTGGTTTTGCCTACCAATCACCCGAACAGGAATTAATACAGCTTGCGTATACAGCCGATGCCAGTGGTTTCCATCCCAGCGGCAGTCATCTGCCAACACCACCACCAATTCCAGCTGACATAATAAAATCGATTGAATACCAAAGAACGCATTTCTATCAGCCGGAATACTAGAAGAGAAGAACGCTACGAGAGAGGGAGAGAGCTCGACATTTTCAAATTGAAAATGCTTAAAAGTTAATATATACCTACGTGTATTTAAATATTTATTATGAGTGAATAAATCATCCATAACGGAGAGAATTTTTAATCTCTTGACACATCGGAACACTCACCTAGATTGAATACTGGTTAGAGTTTTAAATGTTCTCACAGTGTGAACTCCTGAACTTTAACATACAACAAACTTTAAAGGAACTTCCAAATCAGTGTCAAGTCGTGAGCTTGCAAAGTGTTGACCTATTCTGAACTAGCAAACTTCCCAGAGAAGAGGTTTAATGATAAGAGATGAAGGAATTAAAAAATTGGTGAATTTGGAGGTAGAAACTCCGCCCTTAAGGTGAGAATACATAAAAAGCTTTTTTGACTGGCTTAAGTCATCGGCTGGCTTCTTCGTAGAACTAAGTCAACCTAAAATTCCTTTGTTCCTCTACGAAGAAGCCAGCCGACGACTTAAGCCAGTAAAAAAAGCGTTTTGTGTATTTTTACCTTTATTTATCTAAGTCGGAGTTGTGTATGCGTAAAAGACACATATTTTAAAAGGTGGCGCAAAAGTAAAATTTCGATGTTGTTTGGCTGTAATTAAAAAATAATTAAAAACTTTGATTCTTATTTTTATTTCGTCTTTTAGTTGTTTTTACATCAAGCCGAGAATGTCATGTCATGGAAATGGCCGCGGCCACAATTTATTGACATTTGAGCCCTTTTCATGGCATTTTCCATCACTTTTGACCAAGACTTCCGGAGATAGGTCATCACATTCTTGACGGATATTGTCTTTAAGAGCTGAAAGAGTATGAGGCTTGTTAACATAAACACGAGACGTCGAAAAGCCCCACAAAAAGAAGTCTGGGTTGGGCAAATCAGGTGATCTTGATATTCAGTGCAAATCGCCAAAACGGGAGATTAGGCGCCCGCGAAATGTATCCTTCCGCACATCGACTGTGGTACGTGCATTGTGTGCCGTTGCCTCGGTAGTCGTTTATCATTGCTTTGTAGCGCTCACCATTCACATTAACTGTTTCGCCCGTGACGTCTTCGAAGAAAAAAGGTCCGATGACTCCTCCATCGAAAACAGCACACCATACAGTGACTTTGAGCGGGTGTAATTGATCTTCGAGGGTAACGCGCGGATTTTCGGTGTCCCAGAAGCGTAAATTTTGCTTATTTACGTACCCACTAAGTTGGTACTCAAGATTATTTTTGATGAAACATTATTTTTTTCTTGGTGGCGATTAAGGATGGACTGACGGTATGTTATATGTGATTGGCGGTCAGAAGCTAACAGCTGATGCACTATCTGGAATTTGTACGGAAACATCTTCAAATCTTGTACCAAAATTCGCTGTAAAGATCGTTGACTGATATATCATTTGCGTGGCGCGTCGTCTGGTACAATTATTAAAAAATTGGGTTACGATTAAATTGCCCGGTAGGGAACGTCAATGGTGCATAACTACTGACTTACTATTGACTGTTTCGCCAGTACTACTGACACAGTGTAGACAAGCAATGCCTTCTTCCTATAGACATTATGCATGTGCTTGCCATTCGAAAGTTACTAGTGACGTTGTCTATAGAAAGTCAGTAGATCATAGGGGGTCATATGGAGACAAAGAAACCAGTGTCAGTCAATCCATGAGGGGTCTTATGGATATTTTTATACCCTCCGCCATACATAGGGTATATTAAGTTCCTCATTCCGTTTGTAACTTATCGAAATATACATTTTAGACCCCACAAAGTATATATATTCTTGATCTGCATAAAATTCTGTGTCGATTTAGCTACGTCCGTCCTTCCGTCTGTCCTGTTGTAATCACGTTAGAGTCAAAACGAATAAAGATTCAATGAAATCTTTCAATGAAATTGTCTGAAAATCCACAAAAGCAGTTCCTTGTGCATACTTTATCCCCTGGAAGAGTATAATCTATATACAACTGATATATGGGGCCTATACAAAGACCTGAACTAGCATAGACAATTTTCTGGCGTAGACCTGCATAGACAATATTCCGGCAAAGGTTTTAATTCCCATTACGTACTTCAAATTCGAATTTTTATGCAATTCCGGTGAATAATGTTGCGAAAATCCTGGAAATACCGAATATCTCGGGCTAGTGTTATATGGGTGCTATACTAAAACGTAGACCTATACAGACAATTCTTTTCCAGGGGGTAAAGTACTCAGTGAGAACTACTTTTATGGATTTTCAGACTATACCATTGAAAAATATGGCTAAAATCATCAAAATATCAAATATGGGGGGGGGCCACATTCGATATCGTGGACCTATATAAACAATTTTTATCAGATTAAAGTAGTCACGAAGAACTCCTTGGATAGAATTTTAGACAATTCCATTGAAAATGTGGCTAAAATCATCAGAATACCGAGTATCGGGAGGTACCGTAATATGGGGACCATTCGATATCTTGGACCGATATAGCCCATCTTCTTGACTTAACCTGCCTGCACACAAAAGACTGATATGTGCAAAATTTTAGGACTTATCTTAATTTGTTTGCGTGATTACAATAGACAGACGGACGGACAGGACTAAACCGTCTTTGAATTTTACGCGGATCAAGAATGTCTAAAATTTTTATTTCGATGAGTTACAAACAGAATTACGAACTTTATGTACCCTCCACGCTATGTATGGTGGAAGGTATAAAAAAAGAAGAAGCAGAGCTTATCAGCTGTCATTGTTTACGTTTCTTCTTATTCGGAGAAAATTAAAACTTGTAGACAAAGTGTTGACAGTGTCCCACAATTTATAAACAAAACTGTTTTCATAGAGGGTTCCTACAGGGGGAGAGAGGTTCCTACAGGGTGATGATCATAACCATTTTGGAATTAAAGTTTTAAATTAAAAATTATTGAAAAATTGATATCATAACGATCTCCGAATGGTATCGTATAAGCAAACTTATAAAAATCTACTTAGTTTTGAAATCCCATACGTTGATGAAAATACCGTCTACATCTATTCTTCTACCATGGTGATGATACTGGATAATTAGCAATTCTCACTTGTACTAGTTTTACAAAAGTGTGGGAACACAACAAATGTATTAAGTCAGAACTTCTTCTGTTGCATGTACAGAAAATGTTACAACGATCGATGTTTCGCTTAGATGATGACATGGTAGAAGAATATAGGTAGACGCGTCGACACAGCTGCTGGGACAATGAACTGTCAAACCAATTTTGGAATTGAAAATGTAGAATGAAAAATTATTTAAATTTGTAAAAATTATTGAAAAACGCGAATTATAATAGCCTCCGTATGACGTAGTATAAGAAAACATATAACAATCCACTTATATTTGAAAAAACATTTAAATTTTTTTGACATATCAATGCTCCCAAGCGTTGATGCATCTACCTGTATTCTTCTGCCATGGATGATGATCTTCTTTTGAGAGAATATGAAAACGATGATTTCTACTTAGAATGTGTCGATTCAGGTTCACGTCATTTCCATACAACCTGAATGTCAGACCGGACATAATACGCTTTGACGAAATTGGTGTTTTGTTTTGGTTATGGCAATATGACATTTTTTTGTTTCAATATCAAGTTCAAGACAATATTATTGTAGAACAATAAATATTTTTTTTGAAGAACTCGTATTGTAAATTCCTATAGTAGTTTCTTCTCCGCAAAGAAGTTAAGTGTGTTATTTAGTTATGAATTATTCATAAAATATGCTAACTAAACATTTATGAATGGACACCCAGCATGTTATTTAATTCGTCGAAATGCATGATTCAACATACATAAGTGTTTATGTTTTATTTGAAATGCATACATGGCATGTTTCGTAGACAGAATGTGATTTCTGAGACTTAAAATATTGAAATAGTTTAGATAGCACGTATGATTATGAAAACTAATATAAAATATAATGTTAAGTGCAGTCTATTCAAAGAGGAACAAGTAAAAAAGCAAATGAATAGAAAAAACTTGAAAATTTAAAAAAAAAAATCTGAAAATCACCACTTGAATTAAAACCTGATATGGGGATCCCACGTCTTCGTATGGCATATGTAATTTCTTGTCATAGGCTGTTGTACCCATTAGGATTTTCCAATACGAAATTTGAAACAATTTCGGTGAATTATGTCGCTAAAATCCGAATATCGGTAGGTAGCGTAATATGGGGGATATAAGAAAACATGGACCGACATGGCCGATTTACGAACTAAACCTGCCTACTGGCAAAATACATACGTGAGCAAAATTTTAGCTTTATATCTCGATTCATTCGAAAGATTACAGCAGCCAGACGGACATCACTAAATTAAATAAGTATTTTACACTGATCCAGAATATATATATATATTTTGTATGGTCTATCATGAGTATTTCGAGGTGTGGAGGGTATAAAAATACACAGAGTTTGTGTATGTATTGTTTCGAATTATGTATAAAATAATATTGAAAATTTATATTGACTTCTGTTATCATTATTCAAATTGTTGACCCTCTTTGAATACCGAAGGTATTGGCCAATATTATCCATTTCGTATCGGACCTAAATAAATGTTATATAAATATTGCGACATGTCAGATTTGAACTATATTGGTTACTTTCTTCACATTGTATGAAGTATGTGATAACTTTTAGAAAAGGTTAAAACGTGCGTGAGGTACCAGATATAGTCGATAAAGTATTCCATTTTCATTCTGCATTTAATACAGATAAAAATATTGGTATGGGCAAAATTACAAGCAGATCGAAAATTTATATCCAATTTTATGCGAAATCATAAATTCCATATTCATCTCAGGTTTCTGCTTCAGAGAAATATTTAGATATAGCAAGTTGTAAGGAATCGCTGACTTGTTTCGCAAGTTATGACAGATAAAATTATTGAATCTCAATATTTCCATCAACACACAATTTATTATACCCAACACCACAAGGTGGTCAGGGTATTATGTCTTTGTGCATTTGTTTGTAACAGGCAAAAGTAAACGAGATAGACCCATAGTTCCTTTTGATGATCTGCATAGAATCACATTCTGAGTCGATTTATGCATGTCCGTCCGTCCGTCTGTCCGTCTGTCCATGTATTTGTTTGTAAACAAACAACGTGTAATATCAGCCCGAATCTTATGGAATTTTGCATATACACCCAAATTAAGCCTGAAAATATGTATGCCAGATTTGATCGAAATCGGTTCAGATATAGCTATAGCTCCCATATATATTGTTCATCCGATTTGTTATTTTTGTCCACCGCCGCCGTAATATGCACTATGCAACAACAATATTTGGGGAAATATATCAAATACAGCTCAGAAATACATTTGCTAAATTTTATCGAGATCGGTTCAGATTTGGATATAGCTCCCTTATATAACTTCGTCCGATTTACCTTTTATTGTGCACCAAACGTCTAATATTGGTCCAAATGGGATGGAATTTGGCACTTACGACCGAATTGAGTCTAGAAGCTAGTATGTCAAATTTGGTGAAGATCGGTTCAGATATAGCTATAGCTTCCATATATATTATTCATCCGATTTGTTATATTTGTTACCCACAACCGTAATATGCACTCCGTAACAAAGATATTCAGGGAAATATATCAAATACAGCTCAGAAATATCTTTGCCAAATTTTATCGAGATCGGTTCAGATTTGGATATAGCTCCCATATATATCTTTATCCGATTTCAAGTTAATTGTGCACCAAATGGGCAATACAATTCCGAATTTAAAAGATACAAATGCTTCGGCATATTTAGTCCTTTGAACTTTAAATTATAATTATAATCATAGCGTGTATGATTGGATTCTCCCATAGAAACTTTTAATTGTTATGTGGAGCTCTACTTAATTAGCAAAGTGGTGTAGGGTATCATAAAGTCGGCCCCGCCCGACTTGAAGACTTTCTTTACTGGTTTATTGTTAGTCTAATACAATAGCAAATGCGTTGTGGGACAAAATCATATCCCAAACTGAACCGATTTCAATATAATTTGACAAAATTTATTTTTGGACCAAATTACGTCACGCCTTCCATATATCATTGAAATTGGTAATTATTTTTGATTAAATATACGAAATATACCGAATGTATATATATGGGGGTATATCCGAACCTTAAACACTTTTAATATAATTTGAAAAATAATTTTTATTCCACAACACATTCTGATATTCACTTATTCCGAATTTCATTGGAATCGTGTTTGCTGCATTAAATATGTGAAATCGGCAGAAAAAAATATATAGGAGCTATATTTAAACCTTTCAACATAATTTGGATCTTCTTTGTACTAAATTCCGTCACTTTTGCCACACATTCTGAATTTCATTGGAATCGGACATACACATCGTGTTCGGTGCAAAAAATACATGAAATCGGTCAAAATATATATATGGAACCTATGTCCAAATCCGAACCGATTTCAAAACGATTTGACAATTTTATGTATTAAATTCCTTCCTTTATTCCAAATTTCATTGCAATTAGACAAACCCATTTTGTTTGAAGCATCAAATATGTGAAATCCGCCGAAAATATATATGGGAGCTATATTTAAATCTTCATCGATCTCAATATAATATGCAAAATTTATTTCTGTACCAAATTCCGCCACACATTTTGAATTTCATTAGACATACATATCGCGTTGAGTGCATCAAATAAACGAAATCGGTCGAAAATGTATATGGAAGCTATATCCAAATCTGAACAGATTTCAATATAATTTGCCAAACAAATTCCATCATACAATCTAAATGTCATTGAAATGTGGCGTACACAGCGTGTTTTATGCATGCATGAAATCGCCGAAAATATATATGTGAGCTATATCCAAATCCGAACCGAATTCAATATAATTTGGCAAATTTATTTTTGTTCCAAATTCCATTACGCATTTCAAATATGGAGACTGTGTTTGTAATCGATGTGTGCATATAAAATTTACATATTTGGAAGGTACTTCCGATTCTGATGCTATATCTGCAGTTCCAAGCGGAATTCCAAAAATGTATATAGCCTATGTTACTTTCAGGCGATGTTGTAGTATACATTTTCCTCTTTTATAGATATAGATTCGATTCTTTTATAGATATATATTACATATATTAAGATCAACTTTGTCCATAGTCAAAGCTAGTTAACTGCCTGATTTATTGTCACAACACAGTAAAGACAGTTGAGATATATTTACGTAGTTGTGAAATGTTCATAATCGCAATTTAAGAAATTAATAACTAAACACAAGTTTGTTTTAAGTTTCACTGGTGATTATTAGTTAATGTCATCCAGAAAAAAAAAAACTACAAATTAAAATGCGTCTAATGAAACCGGATCGTTGTATCACTGGTTCTATTTGGCATGTTATAAATGTAGTATTCTAGTTTTCTGATAGGGATAGATGCATATACATGCTGCTCGAAACTTATGTTCCCCGAATCTATAAAAACCAGCTTAGTTGTTTATGGATATCGTAGACTCTGTATATCTAGCACGCATAAGACACTCCAGATAGAACACAGAAATCAGAATGAAATCAATTGTAAGTTGAGGGTAATACCAAAATGTGGACTCGTAATAAAAATCGAAATTTTTTTAGTTCGGCAGTGCCATTATCATCATCGCCTGCCTGGCTTGCGGTATCATTGCCGATGGTGAGGATGCTCATGCAGAGATCATACGTTTCACAAACGACATCGATCACGATGGTAAATACAAATATCACTACGAAACCTCAAATGGTATTACTGCCGAGGAGGAAGGTGAGGGTGGTCATTATGCTAAAGGCGGTTTTGCCTACTATTCAGACGATCAAGCATTGTATCAGCTGTCATATAAGGCTGATGAGCTAGGTTTCCATCCTACCGGTGAACATTTACCAAAACCTCATCCAATACCAGCTGCCATTTTAAAATCCATTGAATATATCCGCACCCATCCACAAAAAGAGGAGTAATGAGGAGAACATTAAACAGTATTGCTGTACGAGAGGGCTACAGATGGTAGCAGTAGAAAATAATTATTATTAAAAATAATTAAGGTTGAATTTTAAATCATAGTAAGAATAAATTATTTAGAATTTAAGATACACACTTATTTGAAATTTAACCGCCTTTTCCCTATAGAAGATAGTAAGAAGGTTTTCTCAATAGTATTCTACACCTTACCTTCAAAGAGTTATGGAAAAGCATTCGGAATATTTTTTTGTAGGAGAAACATTTTTAAACTTGAACAAAACGCTATGCGGGGTAAGATGAAATAACTGCAACAAACTTCAGACTGCTGTCATTTCTATGCCACTCGTCCGACAGCTGTTAAAATTATTCCAGTGACAGCTCATTATATTGTTTACAAGCGTACAAAAGCATTTTGGTGAGAATTTTTGAGAAAAAAAGTTATTCGTGGTGGGATTCAAGCGTGATAGTGTGATTTCTTTATATTTGGCAGGAAAACCACAAGTGGCTATCGTTAGAGCACTCCAGCATTTTAATATGAATAAATCTTTTGTGCCTCGTACCAACACGACGCCAAGGAAGTTTGACGGAAGAAAACAGCAACATCAGCAGAAATGGTTCGAAAAGTAAAGAAGTGACTTGATCGAAACCCGTGTCGCAGTGGCCGAAAAATGGCTCGTGAGCTGAACATATCGCAATATTCCATTCGGCAAATGTTGAAAAATGAGCTCTGGGTAAAGCCTTTGAAATTCCAAAAAGTGCAAGAACTTACACCGCAACAGAAAGAAATTATACTAAAAAGAGCTAAAGAGTTGCGTCGCTTGACCGAATGTGGTGAAGTGCAGAATTTGGTTTTCTCCGATGAGAAAACAATCGTTGTCCAGCAGTTTGTAAACAAAAAAATTATCGTGTTTACTTGCCAAAGAGGTCAGCTGAAAGTGTGCACCTTCGGTTGGCACCAGAACTCAAGCGCCGGCCATGGTAATGATATGTGCCGCCATAACAGCCGATGTTCGTTCTCCGCTCGTATTAATCGACCGTGGCATTAGAATAAATGCCGAACATTATCGCGAAAATATTCTGGAGGGAGTATTAAAGCCAGGACTAAGCACCATCGCAATCCTTTGGACTATTGCGTCAGGAGTATTTTGGAAAGCAAGGTTGGCACTAAAAAATACCAAAATGTCGTTCACCGCAAGCAAGCGCTTCGCCGGGAATGCGCCAAAATTCCGCAGAGCAACATTCGGGCAGCGTGTGACGGTTTCATTGGCGTTTGAAAGGCATAATTCGTGCCAAAGGTGACCAATTCGAACAAATCTAAACTTATTCTAAAATTTGATGCTATTTCCGACATTTTTGCTTGAATTCAATAAAATTATTCAAAATGTTGACCCTTTGTGGGGAAGGTACCAAAGGAGTGGACCGACATTTTTCATATTCACACCAGATCCTAATAATAATAGATATAAAATAAAAAAAAATTGTTGTGATATCTGAAATTTGAAGAGAATCGGATGATTACTTCGCATTTTATAAGAGCTATAATTATTCGAAATTTTGACACTTTGTGTTTGAGGTCATGTTGGAGTGGCTCGACATTTTCCATTTTAGCACCTGACCTAGAAGTGATGTGGGATTTTCCTTTCTTGTTCTATAAGAAAAATAAAATGAATATTTTGTCTCCCTGTGGGGGAGGTACAAGAAGTAGTGGACCGGCATTGCCTATCTTTGAACTCGATCTAAGTTTGATAATAATATTACGATGTACCAAGTTTGGATCAAATCGGATACTCCTTTCGAGAAGTATCGGCGCACCAGTCAGACATACATAAGGACGGACGGACATCGCTAGATCGACCCAAATGTACTGTAATGGATTTGGTCCAAAGAGACCTAGGGTCTAAAACCATTATTTCGTTTTTACCGTATCAAATGATGACTGAGGGTATAATTAAACTTAACGCTACCTATTTTTATACAAGAGGAAAATGTTTGTACGTTTGATTGTTTGTCTTTTTGTAATTTAAAAACCGCTGAACAGATTTTCCTGAAAATTTCGAAATATACTGCAGCATTGCCTGAAAGTAACATAGGCTATATACATTTTTGAAATTCCACTTAGAACTGGAGATATAGCATCAGAATCAGAGGTACCTCCCAACAATTTAGTTTTTTTGTGCATATATCTATTGATCGATTACATATACAGTGTCTAATAACGGAATAAAAATAAATTTGCCAAATTGTATTGAAATCGTTTCAGATTTGGATATAGCTACCATATATATTTTCGGCCAATTTCACATATCTGATGCACCAAACACGATATGTATGTTCGATTCCAAAGAAATTCAGAATGGTAGGCCTTCCCGCACACATGTTCTTAGCAACGACAAGAAAAGTTCGTTCTCTGTCGAGTTTGGAGATGGACAAAATCGGCCCACTCCTTCTGGTACCTCAGCCACAAAAGGTCAAAATTTTGACAGAAAATGATTTTCTTTCCTTACTTTTTTCAAATATTCTAATCAGATCTTCTTGATCAGATCAACTTCAAAATTGCCGATGTATAAACAAATTAATTTTTTAATTCAAATATTTTTTATTTCTATAATACTTTTGTTTTATTTCCTTTTCTTTTCATTTCTTTCTTTTGTTGTTTCATTCTTTCATAACATTTAACAATAGCTGGGCAATTAGGGATTTTTGATTGGATGGTGTTGGTGGTCTGTGGGTATGGATGGATGGATGGGGCGGGAGTTCAAACGGGATGGCATGGGTTTGGGGGAAAACACTTAAAATTAGAAAAAGGAAACCCTAAATCTAATCAGAGGACACCGCTGGGTCACCACACAATAACTTAATGATGATAACGCTTGTCTTGTAGCACGTGCTTTACTTTGGCAGCACCACCTTGTCTTTCCTCTTCGTGGGGATGAGTGCGAATGTATTCCAAGGCCTTGAGGATAGCAGTGGGAATTGGTGGTGGGGTGGGCAAATGGTCACCGGCCGGGTGGAAACCGTTCTCGTCAGCCGTGTAGGTCAATGTGATTAGTTGGCCGTCGGGAGCATAGTAGGCCGATGAACCGCTGGCATAGTAACCGCCTACCCCAGACTCCTGAGCCGCAATGCCATTTGTGGTGTCAAATTGAAATTGATAGCTGCCATCCTCCTTAAGGTCACTGCTGTAGCTGCGAGTCTCCGCAGCAGCATCGTACTGATCGGGTCGGGCTACAGCAACGGCGCACAAAGCGGCAAGACAGCAAATGAACTGGTAGGAGAGGGGCGAGGAAGACACAAAATAGAATGACAAGTGTAACAGAATGAATGAGAATCCAAAAACCTCAAACAAAGAAGCCTTTTGTGTGTTGCCAAACAAATATTCGACACAATGCCAGTGTCAATCTACATCTCAAAGCATTGTGATGCGACCGTGTTCTGTATTTTCTTGTTTGCATTTTGTGGTCGAATATTCGTTGCTCGTTTATGGCTGCCATTGTCGGCAACAAACAAATCGATACTTACCAATTTGGCCATGTTGTGGTTGTTGGTTTATGATTTCTGCGATAAGTTGGTGTGGCTGAGGTGTTTCCTCTTTTAGATTCGGTTAAGAATTAATATCGAACATTGATGCGATCGAACAATTTATACTCCAATTCAATGGGACTGTGGTCAATGAAAGGCAGCCACTCAGTCAGTCAGAGAGCCAGCCATTCATTCGTTCTTCATTGATGGCAGTTTACAGCATTCGGGGCCATCTCTTAGTTTGTTGTTGTGATATCAGTTTGTTTCCTCTCCAACAACAAATTTGAGTCACTTTATGGTCTACCGGTTGTCATAGCTGTTGCGGCTGCTACATTTTTTTTGTTTTGAATGGAAGATGCTAAATTTGGGCTAGGCTTATGGGAATCTTGATTTGTTGTTAATTTTTTTTTTGGCAATTTTACTCGCCAGCATTTGGTAGCTCTCATAAAGTTTTATGGTCCATTGTTAAGAAACTTACAATCATTTTTTTGTATTCGAACAATGAGTGCGGTTTTGGAACCTGTGCGTATTTTCTTATTTCGATCGAGTGAGAATTGCTGTTTGATTCCCGCTTCTTTGGTAAGCTTGAGTGTTAAACACTATGAGTTACCATTAAGGATGATATGTGGAGCTTATTAACGTATCCAGCAGTTCGTAAGGAGATTTTGTGAAAAATTACATACATTCATAGGTATGTATGGGTGTACGTTTATGTGGTTTTGAACTAAACCGGTAACTAGCTCATGCAGAGAGCTTAGGCTGGTCTTGTAAATTAATTGTTTCAATTCAGTAATCGATAGAATTCTATACTCCCAAAAAGAAAACAAAAATATTTTTGCAGCAAACAATGGGTCAGTCGTAGGTAGTGAAAAAAACTGACTGACCGAGAATCAACGCCCAAACAAAATGGCTGAAGCTAGAATCTTAAAAGTTTGCAGTCAGTCTAGGTGCGTAGGCGTGTGATTGAGTAGGATTTTTAAAAATTCGTACGAAAAAGATACAAAAATTACTAAAATGTACCAAACATTTTGCATTGGACAAATTGAAGGAGCTAAAATTCTGATATTTGGAATGAGACTAACTATGATTCATGGTACAATAATGAGGTAGAACCACTTCGTAAAAGTACATAAATACATCCCTGGAGGTATGTCCGCTTTCTGTCAGAATTGTTCAAAATTAGAATCAACAGTTTTTTTTTTTAATTAATTTAATATTTTTCCTTATTTTGAATATTGATTAAAAAGCATGAAAGATGAATGAAATGCCAAAATTTCAATTCCATGGTAAAAATGGTTATTACCCTTTATTTGCGTGCTGCAATGTGCGTTTCTTCCAATCATTGATTTACAAAATATTTAGTTTTTTTATTTTTTCAAAATAGTAAATGCAAACCAAAATTGGCAGAGGTCGGGCACACTTAGAAAAAAATGTAGTCAGCTGGTAGCTCTACCTTACCTTTTTATTGTACCATGATATGATTATGATTATTCAAAATGTAAAGGCTTTGTGGGGTGGGGCCGGAAGGGCCTATGTATCCCATCTCCACACGAGATCCTGTATTGATGGAAATTTTAGGGTGTTCCGCTCATTTCCGTGGGGAAGGTGCCAGCAGGAGTGGTCCTTTCTTCTTTCCCTTTCTTCTTTCTGGAAGAAGCGGCTGGATATTGTCCCTTTTATCCCGCTTCGGTATGTTCAAAACAGGCTTCGCGAATCAAAGTTTAGAAATAATGTAGAAAAAAGTGCAATTTGAAATCTTTGAAAAAATGTATGTGGTTTTATGTTAAGGCCTACCTTCTTTGAAAATTCTCAAGTTATGGGACACATTTTGGCCGAATCATGGATAGCTATATATCATTTGATACGCCCAAAACGTGCCTAATCGAAATAGCGGTTTTAGACCCTAGGTCTCTTTGGATCAAATCTGTTCCAGGACATTTGGAGCTAATCTAGGGATGTCCGTTCGACCGCCCGTCTGTCTGTCTGGCTTTGGATCCGATTTGATCCAAACTTGGTACATCATAATATTATTCTCAAACTTAGATCCAGTTCGGAGATGGGCAATATCGGTCCACTCCTTCAGTTACCTCCTACACAAAATGTCAAAATTTTCAAAGAAACTAATTTACTGCACAGAAAGAGTAAGGATAATACAATTTAGCTCCACCTTTGCAAATCCTAATATTTGCATCAGTTCAGGTGCAATAGACAATATCGGTCCACTCGATCCAGTACCTCCCCCACAAAGGATCAAAATTTTAAATGATTATAACTCTTATAAAATTTAATGTAAGTGCCCGATTGTCGTCAAATTGCACACATCACAATATTTTTATTAACCAAAGGTCTGGTGTGAAAATGGAATATATATCGGTCCACTCCTTCTGATACCTCCCCGACAAAGAGTCAACATTTTGGATATCAATGAAACTCGTAGAACACGACATTAACATCCGATTCCATTCAGACTTGGCACATCAATATATTTCTATCACATCATATTCCACACATCCCACTATTTCTACCAACAGAAGATCGGCTGTGAAGATGGAATATATCGGTCCAATCCTTCTGGTACCTCCCCCCCACAAAAGGGTTAAAAATTTTAATATCGATGAACCTCATAAAACGCGAAATTAACGTCTGATTGCATTCAAACGTGGTACATCTAAATATTTCCATCAACACAAGATTTATATCTATAAAAGAGGAAAATGTTTATATGTTTGTTTGTAATTTATGGACTTGAAAACCGCTAAACATCGCCTGAAAGTAACATAAGATATATAAAATTTTGAAATTCCACTTGGATCTGGAGATATAGCATCAGAATCGGAGGTACCTCCCAAAAATTTAGATTTTATATGCACAGATCTATTGATAGGTTACAGATAGAGTCTCCATATTTGAAATGCGTAACGGAATTTGAAACAAAAATATATTTGCCAAATTATATTGAAATCGGTTCAGATTTGCATGTAGCTCCCATATATATTTTTCATGTATTTGATTTAATTTGATTTCATGTATTTGATGCATTAAACACGCTGTTTACGCCACATTTCAATGAAATTTGGAAAGCGTGATGGAATTTGTCTGGAAAATTATTTTGCCAAATAATAGCTCTCATATATATTTTCGACCGATTTCGTTAATTTGATGCACCAAACACGATATGTATGTTCGATTCCAATGAAATTTGGAATGTGTATAGAAATTTTGATCACAAAATAAATTACTCAAATTATATTGAAATATATTACAAATATATTACAGATTTGGATATAGCTCCCATATATATTTTTGGCCGATTTCATGTATTTGATGCACAAAACACGATACGCATGCCCAAGTCCAATGAAATTCGGCATGAGTGCCTAAATTTGGTTCACAAATAAATTAGTCAAATTATTTTGAAATCGGTTTAGATTGGAATACGATTTTATTAGGAAGCATTGACTTACAACGCCTTTACAATAGGCTAACATTATAAAACTACACAACAATTTAATTGAGCATACGATTATTAAGGGGAAGTATGTTGCTACCACGAATTCCTTATTGCAACAGAAATGCCACTCAACTTCTAAAGATTTCAGTTTCCTGCACGCTTGGCATTTGCTATTAAATTAATAAATCCGAAGGACAAACAAATAAATAAACAAATAGCTCGGTCTACCAACGCGTGAACATGACAGGAACAGTTGACCATGAGAAAAGCAAGAACATGCCAAATTTTGTCCGCCTTCTCATGGTCAGCTGTTCCTGTCATGTTCACGCGTTGGTAGATCGAGCTATTTGTTTATTTACTCATAGCAGTATTACTATTTTTTTTATTTTTGAAATTGTTTTATTTTTTAAGCCAGCATATATTCGTTTATAAAATTTTGAAGGCATACAAAATCAAAAGTGGTAGCGAAGCGCACCGGGTTCAGCTAGTCTGTTATAGAGATGGTAGAGATCGGACCATTTCTTCAGATACCTTCCCACATAGGGTTCAAAATGTTGAAAAACAAAACGCTCAAAAAAGCAAAATCACCCTCCAACCCTCTCCAAATTTTACACATACAAACATTATTGCTATATATATCTGCGAACCCCTTCTGGTAACTCACCCACAAAGGTTGACAATTTTCTGTCATAAGGTGCGAAACAAGTCAACAACTTGATGTATCTAAATATTTCCCTTATCCAGAAATCTGAGATGAATATGGAATTTATGATTCCGCATAAAATTGAATATACATAGATGTTCGATTTTCTTGTAATTTAGCCCATACCAGTATTTTTATCTGAAGTATGAAAATGGAATACTTCCATCGACTATATCTGGTACCTTATGCACAGTTTAACATTTTTCTAAATATTATCACACATCTCATATATGTAAATTCCAATCCTTCGGAACCTACTCCATAGAGGGTCAACAATTTCAATAATCATTATAGAAGTCAAAATATATTTAAATAATCGAACATTTGCTGAGAGTATACATCTGTCGGCAAAACCGACTGATGCTTTTTGAAAGCTTTCTGTGAAAATTTTGACGTTTTTCCCCATATCAGAAGTTGATCTAAGTTTGGCAATAATATAACGATGTACCAAATTTGGATCAAATCGGGTACTCCCTTGGAGAGTTATCGTGAGCATCAGCCAGACATATGTACTCCAAATGTCCTGAAACGGATCTGGACCAAAAAGACCTAGGGTCGTGCATAATTATTTCGATGAGGCACGTTTTGGCCGTATCAAATGATTGATATCCTCTCTAGCCATATGGCTGAGGTTATAAAAATGACACTATATTTTGTTCGGAGACATTTTAAACGCTGATATCTATTTTTGTCCTCAGCTTAATCGATGACTCCATTTTTCGTTACGTTTTGACCTGGCCTGTTCTGAATAGCCGAGAATATAAAATGTTGCCTATGAATATCTTTGGAAAATATGAGCTTTTCTGACAAACATTTCAAATAGAATCAATTTTTAGTTACCTATCTAAAAATTCTGCAACCCTTTACCAGGTCTACACAGCTTTGTTGTTACATTTCACGGTTCATTTGCCATTTAAAGCATAAATGTTTGCAAAATAATTAACATTTCATATTTTACCGCTAACAACAAAAAACAAATCCCAAAACACTTTATCACACTGGAAATGGCAAAAACGAAGAAGAAAAAAAAAAACAATCGAAACTTTCGATTTCTACATGCGTTGTTTATCGCTCGTGTTTTGCATAATTGCTGAATAATTTATCTTCTTTTGATGTGTCATAACGAAATCAATTTGTTGCTATGATAATTTGTTGAATTCCATCAGAGAATTCAGTGAACTTTAACAATTCGTTCTGATAGTTTTCGTTGATTTTATTATTTTTATTTTACCAACATTGGGGGAGTGCTTTAAATTCATCAGAAATTAATTAAAATTGAAACAAAAATTCCAATTTCAAACAAAACAAAAAACTTCTTTGACGTGAACCCACCAAATGCCATGCTGAGTCATTGTTAGAAATTATTCGAAATAAAATTAAAAGTTTCATTGGGGAAAATTAAAGTAATTTAATTTTGAACGATTTGAAAATGTTGATGTTTTAGCCTTCGACAAGTTGGAATGGGTCGTCATTGATGTCGGAGTTTAGTTTCTTAAATGTTGCAAATTATTTAATTGTTCGTAAAAAAGTTTCAACAAAACAAGTTAAGGCATTAAGGAAAGGTCAAAAGTCGGGCGGGACCGACTATATGATACCCTGCTCCACTAAGAGTATTTTTTGGAGTTCCCGTAACAGAAAAAGTTTTTATTGGGAATTTATATGAAGTAGATCAGACCAACTATAAACTTTATTTCAATGTGTATCATGGCTTTAGTGTAGCCACAATTTGGAAACTATATAAACTATTGGACCTCATTGCTGTATGGTGCATGATATGACTTCGATAAGAATTATATTAAACAAGTTAAAAAGTATTAGTCGATTTTTTCCGACGGATGTATACCTTCAGCTATTCTCCTCACGTTGCTAGGATAAATTCAGTCAGAATTGCCAAGATTCAGTCCATTTGGGCTGACATGAGCGATACCCAAATCTATCCCGATCTTACCAAATTCAAGGCACTTATTTCTGAACTATATCTGATATCTGGTACCAAATATTATCGGATAAAATATATATATGGGATTTTCGATTTTCACCAAATTTGAAGTATTTGTTGCAAGGATGAGTTCAGTTGGAAGTTACAAAATGCGGGTCGGATGAAACATATATATTTGGGAGCTATAGCTAATTCTGAACCGATTTTCTCCAAATTGAAAGTTCTTGTTTCCAGGCTGAATTCTGTCGGATGTGCTGAAACACATCTTATTTACACATTTGGCGCACAAAAAAAAAAAAATTGAAATCGGTTGAAGATATATATGGGAGCTATATCTAAATTTGGACCGATTATTAACAATTTCAATGGGGTCCAAGAACTGATTTCAATAAATAAATCAGACAATAAATGTGACCTGTACTTTGTGTACAAAAATACATGCACAGACGGACGGGCATGCATAAATCGTCTCAGAATGTGATTCTATGCAGATCATCCAAAAAAATTATAGGTCTATCTCGCTTTGTTCCCCATGCTACAAACAAATATAATACCCTGTGGTAGGTAGGGTATAAAAAATATTTTTTAAATGAAATTGAAAGCTCAAAACGATCGATACTATTACTTGTGCCTAATTATACATATCTGGTAAACATTTCAAATTTATATCGAATGAATGGTTTCATCCACTGTCCTAGGATTTTTGCTGTGCTACATAGACAATTTGATTCTGAATGACGTTATATATTTATTTATGGATATTCTGTAATTAAATTTAGTTTTGTTTTCATTATCATGCATATATTTATTTAGACTCTTGGCCATTTCACTGGCCATTGTCGGGCTTCTTACGTGATGCCTTTACCGACAATGATGTCATACTGCTGCCGCCGCAGTTACCACCATTCGCCTGGGAACTGGAGTTGTTCGCAGACGCGGTGTTGTAGAAACGTTGCTTCAGTTGTTCCTTCCATTCCTGTTCCAGTTTGACATAGGTTCCACCCAAAGGTCGAGCCGGTTTGTTGACATTGATGTCTGTGCCATTCTTTTTTCGCACCAACGCTATAACTTGTTTCATTACCTTCTCTTCGAATTCACGCTGGTTGTCTTGATTGCTGCGGGCCGACAACTCGCCCGACCAATAGCGACCGGGATTTAGAGGTTGTTTGCTAAAAAGAAGAAAGAAAAAGATTTGCTCAATTTGCAAGACTCCCTCTTCTTTTGTTTAGTGTCCTACCTCTTGCGATGATGCTTCTTGTTGTAACTCTTTTTGGGAATCATTATTTTGCTATCGGACGATTCACAGCCATCACTGCTGCTGGTCGACAAACTGCTGCCATAGTCACCCAATCCAAATTTACGAGAAGTAGCCCGTAGGTTTTCCAAAGTGTTATCGGTACTTTCGGTTTCGGTACTGGAGTCAGCAAAAAATCTTGAAGATGCTGGACGAACGCGCCGGGCAATGCGGCTATGGGATTCTTCAATGAAAGAAATTGTTTTTTTTTATAAAATTGATTGATGATTTATGCTCAGTTCCAGAACCTGCAAGAATCTACTACACCTTTTTCAGATGTACCCATTCAAACATTTTATATTTCGTAATTCATAACATTTTAATTGTAATTCGAGAATTCCATTTGTTACTCGTAACATTCAACTTTAATTTCGAGTAATTTCCTTTTTAATTCGAATTAATTAATGTGCGTGAGGTACCAAATATAGTCTAATACAGATAAAAATATTGGTATGGGCAAGTGGACCCATCTTCACAGCAGATATTGTGTTAGTAGAAATAATGGAATGTGTGAAATATGAACCGGATGCTTATTTCGCATTTTATAATAGTTTTGCTTATTCAAAAGTTTGCCCTTTTGTGGGGGAAATGGTCCGATCTCTACCATCTTGTGTTTATAAAAATATTGAGTTGTGCCAAGTCTGAGTGATATCGGATGTGAATTTTACGTCTCATAGGTATTTAAAATATTGACCCTTTGGGGAGGTACCAGAAGGAGTGGACCGATATAACCCATGTTCACAGCAGATCTTGTGTTAGTAGAAGTAATGGGATGTGTGAAATATGAAGAAAATCGGATGCTTATTTCGGATTTTATAATCGGTTTTGTTATTCGAAACTGTGGGCTGATATATTCAGTTTGGGGTTCTTAGACCAAAAATTCCCAAAAATTGGAAGAGGGTATAAATTACCCCTCTGTTTAGGTTACTTTACAACGTAAACTTTTAAAAGACCGATACACTTTTCATTTTATTTTTAGTTCTACTTTCATAATCTATTGAGTTTTTCCTCTTATTATTTTTTGTGTTGCACAGTGTAATTTTTCATAATCCCTGCTTCACTGCAATATTTTCTAATGTGTTTCCTAATTTATATTTTTTATTTCCTTACCATCCGGATTTAAGATAGGCAATAAGCCCTGGCGACATCGCTGTGGCATTAGCGACAAAAGCATCCAGCGTGATTCACTTTCTCCGCTGGTCATTGTTTCCAACATCTTTGGAGGGGGGCAATCACCCAATGCATGACCTTCGGTGGCCAATTGAACAATGGACAAAATCGAGCGCTCTCGATCAGTTTCCACCAAAACGCTATGTTCACGAAACTGGCAACCCTAAAAGATACGAAAATAAACATGAAAATATATCAACATAATTCCAAATATTAAAACTCACATTTGGTCCCGGTAGGGTCTCAAATCGAAATGCCTGCTGCCCACAACAAGGATAACGTCCAGCAGCACCTGTTGTACGACCATCTGTGACTGGCCCAAGAAATGTGGGTGCTTCAGGATGATAACGGCACCAAGACATCTGAAAGACATATTTTCCAATATCGGTCGATATGTAATCTAACATCCTTACCTGATACACCGGAAAATACATTTCACACAAACAACAATACAAATAATGGGCATGACCCCAGAGTTTCCAGTAGACACGACGCCACGATTTAAATTCCTTAAACAACTGGGCAATGTACAGATTCAGGTCCCACATGGTATCGCGGACATGGTGACTAACCAATTGACCCCAACGATTTAGACGCACATTGCCCTGGACACACTGGACATAGGATTTCATGGTGTTGGTCAGGCAGCGATTGCATCTGAAATGCAGTTTTAAATATTTACATATTACCATCCATCAATTGTAGAGAAAATAATTGCAATTACTTGCAACACCGAAACAATCCTGCCAAACTATAGTAGTGTCCTCTCAGGGCCTCCGGTTCGGGTTCGCATAAACTCTGTATGAGCTTTGTCCATAGGCGTGGTAACAGACGATCCTTTTTGTCACGCACCATTTCCAGTTCGACATTTGTAAACATATCAGCCAATCGGGTAATAATCGAATCGTTGAGACAGGAGAGATTCGTAGAGGCCTTCACAACTTCACCCAAACGGGAATGACAAAAGCTCAGACAATCCAATAGCAATGGTTCCATCTGCATCATTTAAAGGCAATATATTGTTTTATTTTATTGAATAGAGAGCTATAATTTATTGTCTTTGTTAGTTAGAAAGTCTTTCGTTAGGAGTGCAGCGATATTGTCATACAAATTTGCTAAAAGTAGATCATTTTGGTATAAACTTTTCAGGAAGACCCAATATCTCAGCGGTGGAAGATTTTATTTACCGAAACTTTCCTCAATGAATTTCATATCCTCGTTTCTGGACCAACCCAGGAATTGTGCTGGTTTCAGCATATGTCCGAAAGTATTGGTAATTGAAATCTTTGAAATATGGGTTAACAGAGATATTTGAAACAAGGCGCGCGTGTTTCGAAGCAATACGAGACTTACTTGAGGGCAAACAAGGGTCAACTCGATCCATTGACGCCTTTTTCCTGACATAAATTTTATGAGGCCCAAGCTAAAGAAGACCGTTTCGAATACAAAACGAATTTTAGAAAAAAAAATTGTTTACTCAATGTTTGTGGTGTCCCCAACACAATAATTGTATCAAGAACTATTAAAAGAGGTGTGCTTGGAGATTGTGTGCGCAACTTCGCAAGTATAAAATCGAATTAGTACTGCCATCCATTATGAACGAACCAATGCATGTACATGCCCTCTATAAAGTGGAAAAAGAACCATACAATAATTTCGAAAAAGTCCGCCATACATCAACAAAAAATCGCTTGGAATTCTCAGCGAGCTAGACATGGTTTCATAGATTGTCCTTCATGACACAATATCATCTAAATGTTAAAGTTAAAAGGCGGGAAACGTAACATCAAATATCCAACGGGTCTACATATTTACAAAGAATATTAGAGAATAACAGCATATCATGTGGCATGTAATAATATGGCGCCCAACGTGGAGCGCATAAAATATAATATTTGTAAGATCCTTGATGTGGAAGGTATAAGAGGAAGTTAACTGATCTTGTTTTCCTATAAAATCGAATACTTCCGATTTATACGGAGGATTTAATTTTGTCGAGTATTTTCAACTTTTTTTTGGGTAGGGGGGCTTTGGGAATATGAGAAGGATGGCTTAATATATTATACTGTTGCTCTAAATCACATTTGTAGCAAGTCCCAAGTTTGGACTATATCGGATACTCTCTTCTTCTCTTCTGTCAAAGAAGGCGGAACGATATTGTCAATATTCTAACTTGATTTAATTTTTATAAAAATGTTCTGGATTTTTCTTTAGAGAGTTAATGTGGTAACCAGTTTCCCAAACAACTAGACAGTTGGATGGAAATGGCTATTTCGCCTGTAAATATCCTGAAGCGGATTTTGTAGAAAGAAGCTTGGGATCTTAAATTTTTTTTTATCGAGCACATTTTGGCTATGTCAAATGCTTTATGCCCTGTGAGCCGCTAGACGTTACCCTGAAGGGAATAAAATAATTTTGTTATTTGTACAGGTATCAGAAGATGCGTATACATATGATCGATACTCGAACTTCGGAAGTAAGAAATTATGCATGGAGTTATGAGCCTCTCTATTTTATATCCCCAGCCACAGAGGGTATATATCATACGATTCGGCCAAAACGTGCCTCAACGAAATAAGGAGATTAGACCCTAGGTCTCTTTGGACCAAATCGGTTTCAGGACATTTGGGGTCGATCTGGCGACGTCCGTCCGTCCGTCTGTCTGGCTGGTGCGCACGATGCCTCTCGAATGGAGTATCCGATTCGGTTCAAACTTGGTACATCGTAATAATATTGTCAAACATAGATCGAGTTCGAAGATGAGCAATATCAGTCCACATCACAATATTTTTATTAACCCAAAGTCTGATGTCCACTCCATCAAGAACTTCCCTTAAAAAGGGTCAAAATTTAGAATAATCAAAACGATCATAAAATCCGAAATAATCATCCGGTTCTCTTCATATTTCACACATCCCATTATTTCTACTAACACAATATGTGCTGTGAAGAAGGGATATACCGGTTCATTCCCTCTGGTACCTCCCCCACAAAGGGTTACAATTTTGAATACTCATGCAGCTCATAAAAGGCGAAATTAACATCTGATTCCATTAGGACTTGGTACATCTCAACATTTCCATAAAAACAAGATCTGTTATAGATATGGTAGCGATCGAACTATTCCTTCTAGTACCTCCCCCATAGAGGGTCAAAGTTTTGAATATCCATGAAGCTTATAAAACACGAAATTAACATCCGATTCCATTTGGACTTGGCACATTTCAATATTTCTATCAACACAAATTAACATCTGATTCCTTCCGGACTTGGCACATCTAAACATTTCCATCAGAACAAAGATTGGATTGGACCATTTTTTTGGTACCTCCCCAACATAGGGTTCAAGATTTTGAAAAGCGAAATAAGCATCCAAAACTCTTCGAGTTTCAACACACATAAACATGCTAACACAAGATCTGTTGTAAAGATATATACATACATATATTTGCGAATCCCTTCTGGTACCTCACCCAAAACGGGTCATAATTTTCAATACTTTTGTCTGTCACAACTTGCGAGACAAGTCAGCGATTCTTTACAACTTGCTATATCTAAATATTTCTCTCATCCAGAAACCTGAGATGAATATGGAATACATGGTTTCGCGTATCTGTATTAGATGCAGGATGAAAATGGTATACTACGGTCGACGCACATTTTAACATTTTCTAAAAATTATATCATTTAAAGTGACAGAAGTAGTCGATTATAGTCCAAACCTGGCACGTCGGAACCGACCCTAAAGAGGGTCAACAATTTGTATAATCATAACAGAAGTCGAAATAAATTTTAATAGTCGAACATTGACTGAGGGTATACATCTGTCGGCAAAAAACGATAGATACTTTTTAACTTGTTTTCATTGAATTTCCTTACCTGTAAAAAACTTGCCGATACCAGGATGGGTACCACATTGTTTACATTCAAGTTTGGCGGCCCCTCCGATGGATCCATAGCACTTGACGATGTTGATTCGGATTTTACCCATTTCATTAGCCAATCGAATATTTGAATGTCGCAATGGACGGATATATCCATGTCCTCTAATTTTTGACCGGCAGTAACATCGGCAAAATAGCCCATCTTGCTGACTAACAAACTCTGAGGACAAAGGAAATCTTTAGATGTATTTTTAACCTCATCGCAGACATGAATGATGACTTCGGGTCTAGCAGGGAATGGTAAACAACAACAATAAGAAAATTAATAATTCGCATCTCGTTTAATGGAAATCTTACTCCCGTTTTGTAGTGGAACCCGACTGGATAGTTGTTAAGGTCTTAGCCACGCTCAATGAGGTAGGAGTTTTGCCCGAGGTTTTTGTGGCACTGCTATTAATGTCTTTAGTAGCTGTTGTTGCGGCCGAAGGCTCAGCTTCATTATCAGCGGCATTGGTGGCCGATGAAACCGTTGTTGAGGAAACTTTTGATGTGGTTTCTTTGGTTTTCGGTTTCAAACGATTATTGTAATTCGCCGGCAATGGCACCGGACATATAAACGGCAATACCGCATCCAATATCCCTTCGTTGAGTATAAAATCCAATTTTTCATTTAACTTTGGATGCAATATTCCATCACCGCCACCGGTATTGCTGCCTTGCTTCGATTTGGGCAAAACTATCGAATTGTGACGGCGCAATCGATTTACCTCACCGGCGCCACCACTACTCCCAGTACTCGGTCCACTATCTGTCAGCTCATCTGGCATATTTGTTGACTTTGGACTGTTGCGATAGCCAAATAAATCATTTACCAAACGGTTGTTGGCCAATTGTTGGAAATCCAAAGGCTTTTGCGAACCATGGGACTTGGGAACGGCACCTGTGTTGGTGACATGGTTGCTTCCACTCTTTCCAGCCACATGATGATGTTGATGATGAGTGTGACCAGTATCCTTGCCGAAATGTGTTTGTGTTGATGTCTGAGAAATCATGTCATTGACATGACATGACAAATTTAAAAAATCCAAAAAGTCATTTAGATTTATTGTCTTTTCAGGACTGCCAGCTTTATTTTCACATTGAATGTTACCCGTTGTTGTTGTTGTTGGTGGTGGCGGAATCTGGGAATTACTATCATAATTTTTATTATTATTTGAGGACATTTTCGTGGATTTAATGGAGCACAAATGTATTCTATTGTGAGAAAAGCACTAGCGAAAATAAAAATCTGTAGATAAAAAGGATTCGAAATAAACAAATGTTCCACTGCTTGGCAACGGTAACCATGTAATAAGGTTCTTGTCACTGCTAGTGGGCAGAATAACAAAAGCAACTCAGTGTGAGTAATCATTAGCATATTTGTTTGGAATTTAATCATTTGATGGGCAAATAAAGCAATAAATTATAGTGTTGTTGACCTTAATATTTGTACAAGCATGGTGTAATAAGGAGGTAGAACAGCTTCGTAAAACTACAGAAATAAAGCCCTGAGGCTATGCCCGCTTCTTGTCAGAATTTTTCACAGTTATATGCAATAAGCAAAAAAGCATCAATCGGTTTTGCCGACAGATGTATATGCCCTCAGGCAATGTTCGATTATTTAAATATATTTTGACTTCTGTTATAATTATTCAAATAATTGACCCTCTACGGAGTAGGTTCCGAAGGAATGGGCCAATATTGTCCATTTCGTATCTGAACTAAATAAACATTATATAAATATTGCGACGAGCCAGGTGTGGACTATATTGGTTACTTCCTTCATTTTATATGATATACAGGGTGAGATAAAAACTGCAACAAAGTCAAACGTCATAATTTATACATTTTTGTTTTAAATTTTTTTGAATGAAAGCAAAAAATGTCGGAAATAGCATCAAATTTTAGAATAAGTTTGGATTTGTTAGAATTGGTCACCTTTGGCACCATCACACGTTGCCCGAATGTTGCTCTGCAGTATTTTGGACCATTCCCGGCGAAGCGCTTGTTCGAAGTGATCGACACTTTGGTATTTTTATACCCTCCACCATACTATGGAGGGTATATTAACTTTGTCATTCCGTTTGTAACTCCACGAAATACTCATGTCAGACCCCACAAAGTATATATATTCTTGATCGGCGTAAAATTCTAAGTCGATGTCCGTCCGTCTGTCTGTCTGTCCGTCTGTCTGTTGTAATCACGCTATCTTCCGAACGAATTGCGATAGAAGGCTACAATTTTGCACTCATGTTTATTTTTTCAGTAGGCAGGTTAAGTTCATAAATGGGCCATGTAGGCCCACGTTTTCATATAGCCCCCATATAACGGACCTCCCGATATTCGGTATTTTTATGATTTTAGCCACACTATTCACCGGAATTGTTTCAAATTTAGTAGGTACTTTGATGCTTTTAGCGACATTATTAACCGGAATTATTTAAAATTTGGTATTTGAAGTTCGCAGTGGATACTACAGCCTAAGACAGAAAATTGTCTGTGCAGGTCCTATATAACGGTACCTCCCTATATTCGTTATTTTAGTGATTTTAGCGTCATTATTCACCGGAATTGTTTCAAATTTTGTATTTGAAGTTCGTAATGGATGTTACAGCCTATGACAAAAAATTGTACGTGCAGGTCCACGTTTTACAACTACCATGGTTCCTCCCTATATTCGGAATTTTGATGATTTTAGCTACATTATAAACAGATTTTTTTCAAGTTTCGCATTTAAATATTGTAATAGCTTGTGACAAAAGTAGTCTATGCAGGTCCACGTCGTCGTACAGGCCCTAATATACGGCAACATTCGGTATTTTTAAGATTTTACAGAGTTTTTATCGGATTATATTTTGTTTTTGAAAATTGCCAAATTTGTACCAAATGGTGGAGGGTATTCAAAGTTCGGCCCGGCCGAACTTACAGCTTTTTTACTTGTTATATTTCATCTAATAAAGATAAAAAAAATTGGTATGGGCAAAATTACAAGAAAATCGAACATTTATATACAATTTTATGTGAAATTATAAAATCCGATAAACTCCATATTCATCTCAGTTTTCTGGTTGAAATAAATATTTAGATACACAAGTTTTAACGAATCGCTGACTTGTTGCGCAAGTTATGACAGACAAATGTTGGGAAATTGTGACCTTTGGGGCTCATGTACCAGAAGGTGTTCCCAGATATATATCATCTTGACAAGAGATCTTGTGTTATCACAAATGTTTTCAGATGTGAAATTTGAAGAGAGTTGGATGCTTATTTCGCTTTTTTTGAGCGTTTTGTTTTTCAAAACCTTGAACCCTATGTGGGGGAGGTACCAGATGAAATGGTCCGATCTTTACCATCTTTATAACGGATCTGATGTTGATGGAAATATTGAAATGCATCAAGTCTGAATAGAATCGGATGTTAATTTCATGTTTTGTGAGACTCAGGATATTAAAAATTTTGACGTTTTGTGGGGGGAAGTACCAGAAGGAGTGGTCCGATATTTTCCATCTTCATAGCAGATCTTGTGTTAGTAGAAATAATGGAATGTGTGAAATTTGAAGAGAACAGGATACTAATTTCGGATTTTATGATCGTTTTGGTTATTAAAAACTTCGACACTTTAAGGGAAAGTTATAAGAAGGAATGGTCGAATCTCTACCATCTTTATAAAAGATCTTGTGTTGATGGAAATTTTGAGACGTGCCAAGTTTGAATGGAATCGGATGTTAATTTCGTGTTTTATGAACTTCATGAATATTCAAAATTTTGAACCTTTGTGGGGGAGGTACGCTCCTGACCTAGCACTGATGCAAATATTAGGATTTGAAAAGTTGGAGCAAAATTGGATTATCATTGCTCTTTCTGTGCAGAAAAATATATTTTTTTGAAAATTTCGACATTTTGTGGGGCAGGTGCCAGAAGGAGAGGATCGATATTGCCCACCTCCGAACTCGATCTAAGTTTGATAATAATATTGCGATGTATCAAGTTTGGACCAAATCGGATACTCCCTTTGAGAGTTAACGTGCGCACCAGCAAACCAGACAGACAGGCAGACGGTAGGACGGACATTTCTAGATCGGCTCCAAATGTCCTGAAACCGATTTGGTCGAAAGAGACGATGAGGCACGTTTTGGCCGTTTCTGTTTCTTATATAACGGGAACATATGGAGCAAATTTGCACCAGATCAGGATTAAAATTTTCACTAAATGCAGAACAGAGGAGAAAGATGAAAGTGTTTATAAATGCGGTTGTAAGATTTTGAAGGTTTTCCAAAAGAATTTTAGTTTCATGTTATTCTTTGGTTCCTCTTCTATTGAGCTTACGATCTCGTCACTTGGTCAAAACAAGTTTTTTGTCGTAGAAGTTATTTTTAAAATAACTTCTAGAGAGAATATCCCAGACAAAAAGCAAGGGAACTGATGAGGATTGGTGGCTCTTTTCGAAACCTAGATATTCCCTGCCTTAACCCCCGGTAAACTTTACCATCGTTCTCCATTAATAAACAAACGTTGTTTTTATAAAAAAAAAAAACAATAAAGGGATTAAGCCTGACCATTTTGCAACAACTAAATACTATGGCATCCCGAACAAACAAGCCATCACTGTTCCAATCGAAAAACATTTAATCTTTCGGTACAGTTATATGGGGCTGTACCAAAATGCCCATTTGCAATACCAAAAGTAAACATTTGAGTACAATTCGACGTTGAATTTTATGCTAATTAAGAATATATATACTTAATATACCCTATACTATGGTGAACCTGTCATCCTTTCATAAGAAATTAAGGATAGATTAAGTTGAGGTGAATACAAAAATGTTAGTATTCGAGTTCAGACAGATTTTTAAATTGAAGTGAAGAATTAATGGTGTCCATTACATCGTTTCAATTTTTGAAGCACTTTATATTCCCTACTCCACATAGTGGGATGGGTATTATGTCTTTGTGCATTTGTTTGTAACATGGGGAATGAAGCTAAATAGACCCATAGTTACATTTGAGGATCTTCATAGAATCAATTTCTGAGTCGATTTATGATTTAAAATGCAGGTCGCATTTATTATCCGATTGAGATGAAATTCTCCAAACAATATTTGTTTGGCCCAAGGACGAACCCAATTGAAATTGGTGATAATCGGATCAGATTTAGATATAGCTCCCTTATATCTTCAACCGATATAGGGTTAATTGTGCACCAAATGACCTGAATTTTTAAGTTCCTCACATTCGTAATATGCATTCGACAACAATGATATTTGGTACCAGATATCTTATAAAACTCGAAAATACCTCTGCCAAATTTTATCGGGATCGGCTCAGATTTGGATTTAGCTCTCATATATCCTTAGTCCGATTTTAAGTTTATTGTGCAAATAATGGCTAATATCAACCCAAATAGAGTGAATTTCGGGTCTTACGTTTCCATTCCGATATATTTTTTTATATCCTTCACGAAGTGATATTATGCACTCTATAGTAATGTTATTTGGTATATAGGATCCGTCAAGTGAAAACAATTGAAAATCGATTCAGAATTGTATATGCCTTCCAAATCTATCTTCGTGTATTTTTGAAAGCACTGTGAGGTTTTTTCTCCACATGCATTAAAGTTCAAAATATAAATTCAGTGGATCCGTGTTGTGGCCATTAAAGCTTATTGGCAATTGAAATAATAATTTATTGTTTTCACACTTGTCTTACATGACATTCATAAATAAATTAACCGATAATAAGTTCCAATAAAATATTGCCTCAAAAACGTTTAAAAAGCAAAGTGTATTGAAAATCACTTCGCTTACGTATAATTTGCATATGAGTCGAACCGGCAGACTAACAGACAACAGTGCGACTCATGGTTTACAACAGCCAATGTTTGTGCGGAGATGATATGTAAATTAAGAGTTATTTTTATTGTGGTCAACAAAAGCAGAAACAGAAATAAATGAATGAAATAAATGTAACAAAATTTGCTTAACAAAAAAAAAAATGAGAAACGGAAAATAAAAATAAAAACCCTCAAACCATAATGATCCACATTTATGATCATTCCCGTCGAAGATGCGAGCGATGAACATGGTTTTGTCCAAAATAAGTTCACAACGTGTTGTAGAAAAGCAAGTAGTTCAGTCATGTTTCGCGTTCGATGAGATGGTACAATAACCTTGATAATGATTATCTGCTACAATGTTATTTGCTGGCGGCTTCGATATGAAAAATCTCAAAATTTC